AAGAGTGTAAAAGAGATGATTAAAGAGTATGAGAACAATACACAGATGCTATCAGATAAAAATAAGAAACCAGTACCAACAAAAAGAGTTAAAATAAGAGAAACAAACAATGCGCTTAAAGGATTTACTAAATCATATAAAATAAGTATTATGAACAATCAAGATCCATTAGAACAATTGCAGAACACTAGAAAGTATCTTACATATTATATTAAAGAAGTATTAACATCAATGGTAGGCCTTAAATATACTGAAACTCTTAAAATAACATTTGAAAAAATCAAAATTAAAAGTAGTGGTAATGTTGACCATATAATAGAAACAGCTTATTTTAACAGTCAAGCTTTAACAATTACAAATAATGAAAATATTAATGAATCATTACAAATTTCAAAACAAAATATATTAGATCAAATTAGTAAATTCAATCAAGAAGGTTCTGCATGGACTATTAAATCTATAGATAATCATTATCTTAATGTTGTTAAATACAAGCCATTACAAGGATCTTCATATATTAATTTACCACAAGAACTTAAAAACTCTAAAAAAGGATTAATTAATATCAAAAATACAGATAATGAATGTTTTAGATGGTGTCATATTCGTTATTTAAACTCACAAAATAAACACCCATACCGAATAAAAAAATCTGATAAGGAATATATTAACAAATTAGACTACTCTGGGATTGAATTTCCAGTGACTGTTAAACAATATAATAAAATCGAAAAGCAAAACAAAATTAACATTAATGTATTCGGTTATGAAAATAAGCAACCATACCCCATTTATATATCAAAAGAAAAATTTAAAGACCATATGGAATTACTATTAATAACTGATAATAAAAACAAACATTATATTCTAATAAAAAATTTTAATGCATTTATGTACAATCAAACAAAGCATAAGGAAAGAAAACACTTTTGTATGCGCTGTCTTCAATGTTTTAGTTCTGAAAAAATATTAAATAACCATATAGAAAACTGTATACTAATAAATGGTATACAATCAGTAAGAATGCCTGATAAAAATAATAACATACTTAAATTCAACAACTTTCATAAACAACAAGCTGTTCCGTTTGTTATATATGCTGATTTCGAAGCTATTACAGAAAAGATATCTGGTTGTAATCAGAATAATAAAAAATCATTCACCGAAGCCTATCAGAAGCACACAGACTGTGGTTATGGATATAAAGTTGTTTGTTGTTATGATGATAAATTTACAAAACCAATTCAACTATATAGAGGTAAAAAGTCTGTTTACAAATTTATGGAAGCTATGTTAAAAGAAGTTAAATATTGTAAAAATATTATGAAAACCCACTTTAATAAACCATTAAAAATGACCTATGATGATGAAAAAGAATTTAAAAAAGCCGATGAATGTCACATCTGTAACAAAAAATATACTAACAAAGATATTCGAGTTCGAGACCATTGTCATATAACTGGCAAATACAGAGGCTCGGCACATCAAGATTGTAACTTAAAACTTAGAATAGACCCTGATAAATTAAAAATCCCAGTAATATTTCACAATCTGCGTGGATATGATAGTCATTTTATTATGCAAGAAATCGGAGCTATTGTTAATAAACATACATACAAAAACAAAAAAGGCGAGGAAAAGCAGATGAATATAAATTGTATACCAAATAATATGGAAAAATATATGGCTTTTATGTTAGGAAACCATTTAACATTTCTTGATAGTTTTCAATTTATGAGCACTAGTCTTGATAAACTTGTTAGTAATTTACCTAAAGAGTTATTTAAATATACCTCTAATCAGTTTGAAGGTGAAAAACTTAATTTAATGACTAAAAAAGGTATATACCCATATGATTATATGGATAGTTTTAAAAAGTTTGATGAGGGGTTGCCTTCAAAAAAAGATTTTTATAGTATTCTTACTGATGAAAATATATCATATGATTCTTATAATCATGCTCAAAATGTTTGGAATACATTCAATCTCAAAAACATGGGTGATTACCACGATTTGTATTTAAAATCAGACGTTTTGTTATTAGCTGATGTATTCGAAAACTTTCGAAAAACATGTCTTGAATACTATAACTTAGACCCATGCCATTATTTTACATCACCCGGGTTGTCTTGGGATGCTATGCTTAAAATGACAGATATTAAATTAGAATTAATGACTGATATTGATATGTTTCAATTCATCGAAAAGGGTATGAGAGGAGGTGTTTCTTATATTTCTAATCGATATGGTAAAGCTAATAACAAGTATATGGAAACATTTGATAAGAATAAACCCTCAAAATATATAATGTATCTTGACGCAAATAATCTTTATGGATGGGCTATGTCACAAAATTTACCTACTGGTAATTTCAAATGGTTAACTGATAAACAGATTAACAACATAAACCTTGCTAAATATCAAGAAGATAGTAAAAAAGGTTTAATTTTAGAAGTTGATTTAGAATACCCTGAAGAACTACATAATTTACATAACGATTATCCACTAGGACCTGAAAAAATTAAGGTAACTAGCAACATGCTGTCAAAATATTGTAAGACAATTGCTTCTAATTACAATATATCAACAGGTTTAGTTTCAAAATTAATACCTACATTACAAAATAAAGAGAAGTATGTGCTACATTATAGAAATCTTCAATTATACTTAGATCTCGGGTTAAAATTGAAAAAAGTACATAGAGTACTTGAATTTAATCAATCTCCTTGGTTGAAAAAATACATAGACTTTAATACTCAAAAAAGAACTAATGCAAAAAATTCTTTTGAAAAAGACTTCTTCAAACTCATGAATAACAGTGTTTTTGGTAAGACGATGGAAAACTTACGAAAAAGAGTAGATGTTAGACTAGTAACTAATAAAAATAAATTATTAAAATTAGCTTCAAAACCTACTTATGTAAGTAGTAAAATTTTCAATGAGAACCTTGTGGCTGTGCATAAGATCAAAGAACAATTGGTGCTCAACAGACCTGCATATGTGGGTATGTGTATCTTAGATTTAAGTAAAACTTTGATGTATGATTTTCATTACAACTATATCAAAAATCGGTATGGTGATAAAGCTAAATTATTATTCACAGATACAGATAGTTTAACATATGAAATTGAAACTAATGATGTCTATCAAGATTTTTGGAGTGATAAAGATAAATTTGATAACAGTGATTATGATAAATGCCATAAATATTATGATAATACTAATAAAAAAGTTATTGGTAAAATGAAAGATGAAGCTGCTGGAAATATAATTAAAGAGTTTGTTGGTTTAAGAAGCAAGATGTATAGTTATATTAAAGATAATAATAAAGGAGATAAAAAGCTAAAGGAATTAAGAAAAATATTATTAAAAACAAAATAAAACATGAAGACTATAAACAAACACTATTTGAAAATAAACAAATACATCATACAATGAAAACTATTAGAAGTGTAAACCATCAACTTAGTAGTTATGAAATTAATAAAGTATCACTTAGCTGTTTTGATGATAAACGTTATATATTAGATGATGGTGTAACAACATTAGCTTATGGCCATTATAATATCGGTTCAAATAACTAAATATTAACAAACAGTTATAATGTGTAGTAAGCATGTAGCGTGGGCCTCTGTTAGAGTAAAATCATACATACCTGCTCCTCATGTTTGACTACATATCACATAACTGTTTGTAATAAGTAATTAATACAAAAGCGATATACAAAAAGATTCAAAATCCTGAAACAATTATTAAAAACAATTTTAACAAAAATTATATGACACTCGCTTGACAGACAAATTAAAAAAAACATATAGATTCCATAGTTTTGTACAACATTGTATTATTATACATGCGCTGATGAAATGTGCTATCTACATTAAACAACCATTGTTAAGAACATGCACTAAGACACGCGCCTGACAGACAGATTAAAAAACATATAGATTCCATAGTTTGTAAAACATTGTATTATTATACATGCGCTGATGAAATGTGCTATCTACATTAAACAACCATTGTTAAGAACATGCACTAAGACACGCGCCTGACAGACAGATTAAAAACATATAGATTCCATAGTTTGTAAAACATTGTATTATTATACATGCGCTGATGAAATGTGCTATCTACATTAAACAACCATTGTTAAGAACATGCACTAAGACACGCGCCTGACAGACAGATTAAAAAACATATAGATTCCATAGTTTGTAAAACATTGTATTATTATACATGCGCTGATGAAATGTGCTATCTACATTAAACAACCATTGTTAAGAACATGCACTAAGACACGCGCCTGACAGACAGATTAAAAAACATATAGATTCCATAGTTTGTAAAACATTATATTATTATACATGCGCTGATGAAATGTGCTATCTACATTAAACAACCATTGTTAAGAACATGCACTAAGACACACGCCTGACAGACAGATTAAAAAACATATAGATTCCATAGTTTGTAAAACATTGTATTATTAACACTTGATTATTAAAGACGGTTTTTACCCACGGGTGTAGTAGTAATACACATGGGGGATTCGAATACATAAAAAGTAAACTTTTTATGGATTCGTACCCCCATGTGTATTACTACTGCTTTGTCCAATGTAGAATAGTATAGTATAGCACTGGCATTACCATGCTTAGATTCAATTATCTAAAAAATATTTATGGATTGTTAAAGGCAACCCTGAAAATTACACATTAAGGCTTGATGAATGTTCCCTTAAAAGACTTTGCTTTATCAACATAGATTCAAAAGTTATTTTATTGAAAGTTTTATTGCTTGTGTAAACTAGAGGTGGTGGTAACTGCGTGAACATTTCTTTGCTATATCTACGTATCTTTTTCTGCTGTTGGATGAGTGATATTATCAATGAAAGAAGAAGAATAACATTTATCATTACTTGTTGCCTGCCTTTGGTACGATGATTACATCTTGAACATTTCTTTGCTATGTCTACGTATCTTTTCTGCTGCTGTTGGACGAGTGGTATCAAGTGTGATTAATGGTCAAAACCTGTGCTTCATTTGTGAGATATAAAAGGTTTCTTTGCGTTTCACGACAAAAAATGTGCGATGCTTCTACCTTTTCAAAATCACTCGTGGATTGGAATGATACCTTCCTGATTGTAAGTTTTGGCGTAGGTATGAAACTTGATAAATCTGATAATAGTAATGAAAATGTTTAAATGTTAGAGGAATTTTAGATTTATATCATTGAAATTTGCGAAAAGTTTATAAACTAAGTCAAGCCAATTTTTAATTCTGTTGTCTAAACGCAGGAAATCGCATTTCCGATGGTCTAAAATATAAAATTTTCCGGGGGCATCCTCCCAGACCCCTCTTACAGTTGCATTTAGCTTATAGACGATTAGAGCGTCTAATTGGATAAGCGGATGGGTTTTGATTTTTATTGATGTTCGCCCTATGGTATCATGTAGATCACGTCGATTGTATCATGGATTGTTGTTTTGTCTTTATGTGTGGTAAAATATGATTTGAGTTTTTGTGTAGGTTTGTGGGCGACGTTAATATTGAATGATCAATGAAGTTTGGCAGTCACTTCTGATGTTCCTTTTATGTATGGTAATGTGACAACTTTTACTGTTTTGTCCGGTTCCTTGTTGCTTTTGTCGGTTTGTGTTTTGTTTTGTATTTTGTTTATAGTTTTGTTTATTAAATTTCTAGGGTAATTATTTTTCATAAATTTGGAGTATAAGTAGTTGTGTCCTGTTTTCCTGGCTTCTTCGGTGTTACATAAGTGTTTATCTTGTTAAAAAGTGTTCGAACGCAGCTTATTTTGTTTTGTGTTGGGTGATTGCTGTTGAATTTGAGTATTTGGTCTGTGTCGGTGGTTTCATTTTATTGAAATTATTACCTAAACCTATGTTGAAACAGGAATGAAATTAGCACTGAATTTTTGAGATGTCACAGTGACAACTTTTTGTTCCCATGATTATAAAGTGTTTACCTAACATTAGTATTGGCACATTCTCTCCATTGTGCGCAAAGGTGGGATTTGCTAGAATTATTTTATAATGAATTTTGTTACAATTTCTTCACAATTCGAAACATTGTTCTTAATTGCAAAATTGACATACTATTTAGGGAAATACTTTATATTTACATAGGTAAACGTGTTTACCTGATATATTACAGAGTAAAAGTAAATGATACACCTATATTTGTAAGAGAAGTATTGTTTTTATTTTTGTACTTACATAATTTACCCTTATAAACTGTCAGGTCTTTATTCCAGGGGAGCTCAATAGCATAATGATGACAGTCAGTTATAAATAGAGAGGGGGGCAATAGCCAGTTGCAACACTTCAGATGGTTAGTTCTATCTACGCCTCTGTCGACATAATATTTTTTTTGACAATTCATTATCAAGTTACTTAGCTTACTTTTACTCACCTGTATCTGAGAATCTGCCGTGACCCTTACATTTATAATGCGCCTTGTTAGTAACAAGACAAGTGGAATTAATCGACAGGTATTGTTTAAGAGTATTTTCATAATTGTCGTCAATAAGAATGTTTTTATGCAGTGCGGTGTTTGAAATTAAATGAAGATATGATCTTCGCACTTTGCTGGACAATTTAAGCAATCGTCTCAGGAACTGAAAAAATCAGGTGACTCAACGGGATTCGAACCCATGACCTCTGCGGTGCCGGTGCAGTGCTCTGACCACTGAGCTATGAAGTCAAACTAAGAAATACAAAAAAACAACAATTGTTAATTTGACTTTGTAACTTGTCAAACTTAATTTGCAATATACCATTTCTGACTTCTCTTTGTTGTTTTAATACTCGACGATTTGTTTTACCACCACCCCTACCATCACCGTCAGAATTTAATTTAATAAAACAATAATCTTTATGTTTTGTAATGGTTAAAACTAACCTTATATATGAAACAATATTAAAGAATTTTTTCGTTTATAAACAATATATTAACAGGAGAAGAAAACAAAGCTTTTATAGAAATGTGTTAAATTTAAAATTATTTTAATTTTTCTCATGAACAAACAATCATATTCAAAATGTGCCAATACCAATAACTGTCTTTGTGGCATAATTGGTTAGCGTGTTCGGCTATAAGCGAAAGTTTGGCGGTTCGATGCCACCCATTGACGATATGGCACTTTGTAACATTTTATTTTATATTTCTTAGTACATAATATAAGTAGTGTTTAAATCTATGTTTATCATTGAATTTTTAAGACAATATTTTGCTTTCCATAATATTTTTTTGTCAAAATACTAAATACAAACTTAATTTTTTAATAAAAATACTATATTTACCAGTAAGGAAAAAAACTAAATTTAAGAAACAACAGTTATTAATGAAAAAAAACACACCAGTTTTTTCTTTCTTAAGTATTAAACTGACTTAAATTATAACAACATAATTTTTTTAAAATATGTGAAATATATTCCAGAAAACATTCCTCCATGCAAAACATTCCCAATTTAGCTTGTCACAAGTAGTGTTTTTGTAGTGATATTTTTCAATGCATTAATATATATACGAAAATCGTTAGATATCACATGCTATATTAATATTTTACTAATCTTAAGTAGAAAGTTTGTTACATGTTTGTTAAAGTAATAATCTTTATGTTTTGTAATGGTTAAAATTAACCTTATATATGAAAAAAATATCAAAGAAATTTTTGTTTATAAACAGTATATAAACAGGAGAAGAAAACAGAGCTTTTATGGAAATGTGTTAAATTCAAAATTATTTAAACTTCTCCCATGAACAAACAACCATATTTAAAATGTGTCAATACCAATAACTGTCTTTGTGGCGTTATTATTAGCGCGTTCAACCGTAACCGAATGGTTGGTTCTTTAATTCCACCCAGTGACGATATGGCACTTTGTAACATTTTATTTTATATTTCTTAGTACGTGGTAAAAATAGTTTAAAAATCGATGTTTTTCATTGAATTTTTTAGACAAAATTTTGCTATCCATAATATTTTGTTGTGAAAATACTAAATATAATTATAATTTTTAATAAAAGTATTATATTTAAAAGTAAGGGAAAAAACTAAATTTAAGAAACAACATTTATCAATGAAAAAACACACTAGTTTTTTCTTTCTTAAGTATTAAACTAACTTAAATTATAACATCATAATTTTTTTTAAGGATTTGAAACATATTCCAGAAAACAATCTTCCATGGAAAACATTCCCAATTTAGCTTCTCACAAGTAATGTTTTTGTAGTGATATTATTCAATGCATTAATATATAGACGAAAATTGTTAGATATCATATGCTAGATTAATATTTTATTAATCTTAAGTAGAAAAGTTGTTAAATGTTTGTTAAAGTATTAATCTTTATGTTTTGTAATGGTAAAAATTAAGCTTATAAATGAAAAAAATATCAAAGAAATTTTTCGTTTATAAACAGTATATAAACAGGAGAAGCAAACAGAGCTTTTATGGAAATATGTTAAATTCAATATTATTTAAATTTCTCCCATGAACAAACAATCATATTTAAAATGTGCCGATATCAATAACTGTCTTTGTGGCATAAACAATTAGCGCCTTCGTTTATAACCAAGAAGTTGGTTGTTCAAATCCACCCAGTGACGATATGGCATTTTGTAACATTTTATTTTATATTTCTTAGTACCTGGTGAAAATAGTTTGAAAATCTATGTTTATCATTGAATTTTTTAGACAAAGTTTTGATATCCATTATATACTTTTTGTGAAAATACTAAATATTAACATAATTTTTAATAAAAGTACTATATTTAAAGAAAGAGAAAAGATTAAATTTAAGAAAAAACATTTAACAATGAAAAATAACACATTAGTTTATTCTTTCTCAAGTGTTAAACTAACTTAAATTATAAACATATAATTTTTTTAAGGATGTAAAATATATTCCAGAAAACAATCTTCCATTGAAAACATTCCCTATTTAGCTTGTCATAATTAACTTTTTTGTTGTGATATTTTTCAATGCTTTAATATATAGACGAAAACTGTCAGATAGCACATGCTGAATAAGTATTTTACTAATCTTGTATAGAAAGTTTGTAAAAGGTTTATTAAAATAATAATCTTTTTGTTTTGCAATGGTTAAAATTAAGCTTATATATGCAAAAAAATATCTAAGAAAATTTTCGTTTATAAACAATATATAAACACGAGAAGAAAACAGAGCTTTTATGGAAATGTGTTAAATTCAAAATTATTTTAATTTTTCCCATGAACAAACAATAATATTTAAAATGTGCCAATAGAAATAACTGTCTTTGTGGCGCAATTGGTTAGCGCGTTCGGCCGTAAATGAAAGGTTGTTGGTTCGATTCCACCCAGTGACCATATGGCACTTTATAACATTTTATTTTATATTTCTTAGTAACTGGTATAAATAGTTTGAAAATGTTTTTTTATGATTGAATAATTATTAAAAAAAATTTTGCTATCCATAACACTTTTTTGTCAAAATACTAAATATAAACATAGTTTTTTAATTAAACTACTATACATATAAGTAAGGAAAAAACTAAATTTAAGAAACAACATTTATTAATTAAAAAAAACACACCAGTTTTTTCTTTCTTAAGTATTGAACTGACGCAAATTATAACAACATAAACTTTTTAAAGTATGTGAAATATATTCCAGAAAACATTCTTCCCTGGAAAACATTCCCTATTTAGCTTGTCAAAATTAATGTTTTTGTTGTGATATTTTTCAATGCATTAATATATAGACGAAAATTGTCAGATTTCACATGCTGGAGTAAATTTTACTAATCTTGTGTAGAAAGTTTGTTGAATGCTTGTTAAACTAATAATCTTTTTGTTTTGCAATGGTTAATATTAAGCTTATATATGCAAAAAAAGATCAAAGAAATTTTTCGTTTATAATGAATATATAAACAGGAAAAGAAAACAGAGCTTTTTTGGAAATGTGTTAAATTCAAAATTATTTTAATTTTTTCCAGGGACAAACAATCATATTTAAAATGTGCCAATACCAATAACTGTCTTTGTGGCATAATTGGTTAGCGCGTTCGGCCGTAATCGAAAGGTTGGTGGTTCAATTCTACCCAGTGACGATATGGCATTTTATAACATTTTAGTTTATGTTTCTTAGTACCTGGTATAAATAGTTTTAAAATCTATGTTTATCATTGAATTATTTACACAAAATTTTGCTTTCCATAATGTTTTTTTGTCAAAATACTTAATATAATCATAATTTTTTAATAAAACTACTATACATATAAGTAAGGAAAAAAAGTAAATTTAAGAAACAACATTTATTAATAAAAAAAACACACCAGTATTTTTTTCTTAAGTATTAAACTGACTTAAACTATAACAACATAATTTTTTTAAAGTATGTTAAATATATTAGACAAAACATTCTTCCATGGAAAATATTCACTATTTAGCTTGTCACAAGTAATATTTTTGTTGTAATATTTTTCAATGCATTAATATATAGACGAAAATTCTCAGATATCCCATGCTATATTAATATTTTACTAATCTTGTGTAGAAATTTTGTAAAATGTTTGTTAAAACAATAATCTTTTGTTTTGTGATGGTTAAAATTAAGTTTATATATGCAAAAAAATATCAAAGAAAATTTTCGTTTATAAACAATATATAAACAGGAGAAGAAAACAAAGCTTTTATGGAAATGTGTTAAATTCAAAATTACTTTAATTTCTCCCATTAACAAACAATCATATTAAAATGTGCCAATACCAATAACTGTCTTTGTGGCGTAATTGGTTAGCGCGTTCTGCTGTAACCGAAAGATTGGTGGTTCGATTCCACCCAGTGACGATATGGCATTTTGTAACATTTTATGTTATAATTCTTAGTACTGGGTGAAAATAGTTTGAAAATCTATGTTTATTATTGAATTTTTCAGACAAAATTTTGCTATCCATAATATTTTTTTGTCAAAATACTAAATATAAACATAATTTATTAATAAAACTACTATACATATAAGTGAGGGAAAAAACCAAATTTAAGAAACAACATTTATTAATGAAAAAAACATACCAGTTTTTTCTTTTTTAAGTAATAAAGTGACTTAAATTATAACAACATAATTTTTTTAAAGTATGTGAAATATATTCCAGAAAACATTCTTCCATGGAAAACATTTATAATTTTGCTTCTCACTAGTAATGTTTTTGTAGTGATATTTTTCAATGCATTAATATATAGAGAAAAATTGTTAGATATCACATGCTATATTAATATTTTACTTATCTTAAGTAGAAAAGTTGTTAAATGTTTGTTAAAGTTCTAATCTTTTTGTTTTGTTATGGTTAAAATTAAGCTTATATATGAAAAAATTAACAAAGAAATTTTTCGTTTATAAACAATATATAAACAGGAGAAGAAAACAGAGCTTTTATGGAAATATGTTAAATTCAAAATTATATAAATTTCTCCCATGAACAAACAGTCATATTTAAAATGTGCCAATATCAATAACTGTCTTTGTGGCATAATTGGGTAGCGTGTTCGGCAGTAATCTAAAGTTTGGTGGTTCAATTCCACCCAGTGACGATATGGCACTTTGTAACGTTTTATTTTGTATTTCTTAGTACCTGGTGTAATTAGTTTGAAAATATATGTTTATCATTGAATTTATAAGACAATATTTTCCTTTCCATAATATTTTTTTGTCAAAATATTAAATACAAACTTAATTTTTTAATAAAAATACTATATTTACCAGTCAGGAAAAAAACTAAATTTAAGAAACAACATTTATTAATGAAAAAAAACACACCAGTTTTTTCTTCCTTAAGTATTAAACTGACTTAAATTATAACAACATAATTTTTTTTAAGGATGTGAAATATATTCCAGAAAACATTCTTCCATGGAAAACATTCCTAATTTAGCTTGTCACTAGTAATGCTCTTGTAGTGATATTTTTCAATGCATTAATATATAGACCAGGGGTTCTTAACCTTTTGTTGGTCACGGACCCCCAAAACATTCTAATGAAAGCTTTGGACCCCTTCAGAAGAAACACATCGCAATTGTCAAAATTAGCTTTTAATTAACTTAGTAATATAGTCCAGAAATTTGCAGACCAAACAGAAGCAAATTAATAATTCAACGAATAATAATGAATAATAAATCAATTACCGAGTCAATTAAGTTATACAACAATTACAAAACCATAAAGAATCAAAAATACAGCAGCCAATAAGTAGAACGCAAATAACTTTTTAAATCAATGCGAAGGTTGCTCCTGCTTATCTTCAACAAGAACACAAAATTGTGGGACGGTTTTTGCCAGGGCCACACGCATGTTATCCTTAGCATCGAACCGATTTCGCTGTTTCGTTTTGATAGCAAGAAGAGCAGAAAACCCTGCCTCACAGAGCTAGGTAGTAGCAAAAGGAATAAGAACAACCATGGCTCTCTTCACCAGGCGAGGATACGCTTGTGTCAAGGAACACCAGAATTCTGCAAGGTTCTTTGAATTTAATTCACTCCTTAGCATTTGCATTGTCCTCAACTGAATGAGGTCATCTTTGGCAAGATCGTCATCACCAATAGAATTTAGATCTGCAAGAAATGGGTTGCGAATCCACAATTCAAAATTCGGATCATGTGAGCAATAACTTTCAAAAGATTGCTGCAATCTGTCTAAATTTTCGCACATATTTCCACGTAGAAAGGAAAGCAGGGCTTCAGTATTATCGATTCGAGTTTGAGAGATCACTTCCTCCAGCATTGGGAAGTTGGCAAAGTTGTCTGTCTCAAGTCTTCTTTTCCACAAAGGAAGCTTTGCTTGAAAAGCCTGCAGTCTTTCTGTAACGTCCATAATCGTTACATCTGGTCCTTGAAATGACAGATTTACTTCATTCAAATGACCGAAAATATCCGCCAAGTAAGCTAATCCATAAAAAAACTCCTTTCTGTCAAATTTCACTGATAGAGGATTTTGTTTTTCTCGTAAGAAGAATGAAACTTCCTTTCTCAGTTCCATCAAACGCTTCAAAACTTGACCTCTCGAAAGCCAGCGAACTTCAGTGTGGTACAAAAGTACTTCATGTTGTGCATCCGTTTCTTGGCAAAGTCTTTTGAATATACGATTGTTTAAAGCTCGAGCTCTGACAAAGTTGACGATCTTTACAGAAACAGACAAAATTTCTTTTAAAGCTGGTGATAGAGTTTTTGATGCCAATGCATGTCGATGTAGAAAGCAATGAGTCACAATGATGTGAGGAGCTTCTTTCTTTACCAACGAAGCAAACCCTGAGGTTTTTCCAAGCATTGCGGGCGCTCCGTCGTTACACAAACTACCAATATTTCTTTTCCAATTGAAGTCTTGTTTGGCAAAGAAATTGTTCACCATCTCTAATACGTCTGCAGCCTTTGTAGTTCCTGAGAGAGGCTCGCAAAATAGGAATTCTTCTTTAATTGCATCAGCGTGCATATAACGAACATATACAAGAAGCTGGGCACACTGAGAGACATCTGTGCTTTCATCCAGTTGCATGCTAAATGGAAATGGTGATGCTTTAAGTTCCTCCATTACTTGTTTCAGAATATTATTAGAAATGTCAATAATTCTGGAGCTGATGGTATCGTTTGACAAGGAAGCGGCTTCAAGTTTCTTTCTTTGTTCTGTGCCACATACTAGCTCAGTCATTTCCAGAGCACACGGTTTTATCAACGTCTCTCTGATAGTGTGAGCTTTCTTTGCCTTGGCAATGCGGTAAGCGACCTTATAAGATGCTTCAAGGCAAGGCTTCTGGGTCTTGATGAATCCCAACTTCGGCAAAGTCCCTGATTTCTCAAATCGAGCCTTCTTAGAACGAAAAGAATCAACACTATCCAGTGCGTTTTTAGGATGAATAGATATGAGGTGCTCTTTCAGTTTCGCTGGCTTTAAACTTACATTGGCAAGGACTTTACCACATAGAAAACATTGCAGCCTTTCGCTGCCATCACTATCAGTAATAAAGGTAAAACCAAAAGCTACATAATTTTCACTGTACTTTCTCTTCTTCGATATTTTTTTAAATTGGTAAAATTTTTAATTTATTTATCCTTCCAGGTTATAAACTTTTGTAGTAGAAAACACATAAGCAAATTGACAGCTTTCTATAATACTCAATGCAGCATACACGTGCACGGTTTTTTGCTCAATCTATTTATTCTATTACAACATAGAGTCTATGTCGTAATAGAATCATACACAATGTCTATGTCATAGACAATGTGTATGATTACATAGGCCTATTTATCACAAATGCGATGTGTAAGAAACATTAGACTACTAATTATAAATGCACAATAGAAAAGAAAAACATGTCAATCATACTTCAGTTAAATATACATATCGAAGGCGAAAACATCTTGTTTTTATTCCGTCCAAAGATTTGTGAGCATATATTTCGAACGATCATTAAACGATGTTGTTTTTTAGGTTCTAATCGGTCAATAGAAATACGTAGCCTACTGTAGATATTCTTATTTGGATTTGCGGACCCCTTAAAGCACCATCATGGACCCCTTAGGGGTTCATGGACCCCAGGTTAAGAACCCTGGTTTAAACATAGCTGCTTTGCATTCCTTGGTAAAATGTTGTAACCAGAGAGTAAGACAGCCAAGCAAGAAATTCATTTACATGGAAAGAGATATATTTCTTTAAACCTTGTTTACACGGATTTTAACATTCTTAGCACTACTTGCCACTGTGAATGCAAAACTTTATCCTAATGTTTGGATTTTGGTATGGTATTGCCAGTTTCATTAAATTGGAAAATGATTACTCAATCATCTAGAGAGGTAATACAAATTCTCGTTACAATGTATGGAATGTAAAATTTACTAATTGTATTTGTAAGAACCAGCACAGCTGTACTTACTCTTTGCTTATACATACCAAGGTCGATTTTAGTTATGTATGGTATTAATTATAATAAAACATTATAATTAATACCATACATGACATTTTAATTTCTTCATATGTATTGAAATATATTCAAATGTGATATATATTGTGTATAATTATGTTCTGTTGTATGCATGTGTATGTCTGTATAGTTTTAAATTCCCTCAGACATCAATTTTTATACAAATTTTTCCATTCCTTTCAATTTTATTTGATCCCTGAATAATAATGAAAGCTTCTCATACATGCTATACATGGCATTTCGAGCATATTCATATATGTTGGCATGTAATATACGTATTGTCTTTATTGTAAATATTTATTATAACTGCTAAGTTTTCTCTTCTTCAAACCTCAAATCTTTTCTATATAATTTATTACTACTCTTTCACTTACTAATAAATTTGATGCTGGAAGAATATTTGAAACTTTTCATAGATACTATGCATGACATTTTCATTCACAGTTTTGTATGTTACAGTAAACATATTTGTATACATGTATTATATTGAAAAGTATGGACAAAAATGAAATCACTAAATTTTTCAAACTTATAAGTATTATATTGTATAATTTGTATATATATACAATATATGTTGTTTAATGTATCTGTTTGTCTGTTAAGTTTTAAATCTTCTTCAAATGTCAATTAATTTACTATTTAACTTTTGAGTGCTCTTACATTTCTTATATTTGATGCCTGAAGAAATAAAACTTTTTATTTCTATCATACACCTAATGTCATTATGAATTCAATCATGTATATGGACTTATATGTTTATATCATTTATTATGTTATGTTATAAATACAATAGGTATTACATATGGTACATAATATCACATACAAATATAATTCAAACATTGTTAATGTAAATATTCAACCGGTGTTTTTAAATGAAACAAACTAGAATAATCTTGCTTATTATGTAGATTCTTGTAATATAAATAAACAGTATAAAATTGACCATGCAACACAAATCAATAGCATATTTCATCTTGAAAATAAAATATAACACTATGCCATCAGACATTGCAAAAAAAATAAAGTAAAATTCATTGAACATAACAAAATTTTCAGCAATATTTCAAATGGAAGAAGCCTGTAGATATAAGTTAGTTATTGCATATTAGGGTCATTTGTGCCCATGTAACAGCAAACTAGAAGTTTAGGGAAAATTTCAGTCATATAATAGTGTCTGCTATGAGCTCTGATTCTATGGCTTGTATTCCATGAAATAAGGTAAGAGTTAATGAACCACAGGCCAACAATGTTTCATGTTTCACACCAAACTCACAATCCTTACTAGGCAAACCTTACATAACTGGCAAATTTATTCTCACATTTAATGCAATGCATGCCTTAGAAAACAGGTAGACAAACAAATTGAGCTTAAACTGCCGTATTTACTAGTTTAAGCGCTGCGATGCACCTAAAAAATTTCCCAACTTTAAAGGTACTTATGTATTCCTCATATGTAAATTGTTATAAGAACTCTTAAAAAACAAATAAACAAATTTTAAATACATCCATTTTGAATGGATAATTTTTTAATGAGGAATGGTGAATATTTGTATCCTATTAACCTCCTCAACAATTCTAATGGTTTGTCGATTAAGCACCACATTTGAAAGTAATCAAAATAGCACTTATTCTGGGCCAGCGCTCTTAAAAATGATAATCGTCACTGCGGCATTTAAACTAGTAAACATGGTGTTTGGGTTTACTACCTTAGACTTGAATAATCTTCATTGCTTCAAAACTTTTTTAATTTTATACGGAGCTCGTGTCCAAAAATCTAAAAAATTCATCAAACACATCTTTGTTAACGCCGCAATAACAGAATTCCAAGCTTTCACTATTTACTCGTTTTGGTATATAAGATTGCACGGTGGCAGTTTTCGTCTTTGCATTGAAACCTTTTTGGCGTAACCAGGTCAACGAAATGAATTCATGTCAAAACACTTGTTCCCAACGGTACAGATGTGCAGTGTTGGCAGCATATTTGGCAATTGAAGCATGCTTTGCCTACCTTCCTTCCATTGAACTTAAACCCAACCCTAAACCATATTTAGCTTTGAACTCAGCAGTATGCTGTAGAACAAGATTACCAAGTGACTTTATAATTGGATTCACGTTAGAAAAGTATAAGCAATAAACTCGATAAATATGAGTTCAGGGTAACTTTAATTTACAAACCTGTTCATCTGTCACAATGATTGGACTAAATAATGAAACAGCATCTCGCAAGCACAGGTTAAGGTAGGCATGGACATGATTTAGAAGTACTGCTTGTTGGCTGTTAGCTCCACTTTCTAAAATATCAATAATTTATACAAAGTTTTGTAAAATAATCTTGAATCCTTACCACTGAAGCGATAGTCAAACTTTTTCCCATTCCCCTGCTTCATTGAACCATCTAATAATCTTCTTTGCCAGCCTTTGTGAATGACACTTTCCTCTTAAAATCTCAAGAAATTTGTAGTTTAGTAATAAACCATGAAAAAGGCAAGCAGTTCCCACCGCAATTAGCATCAAACAAAAGATAGTTTTCATTGCTATTTAGAACACTTTTACAGATGGTCAAAAAACTAACAAACCATGAGCAAGCAGTGTCATGTTTTCCAAATGGAGCACCACCACCCCAAAAGTACAAAACTTGATAAGTTTATCAAAGGTATGAAATGTGTACTGATAACTACATAAATAGAATTCAGCTAGAGTTGATGCCAGATGCTCAATATCTCTGAAACAACCATTCACCTTCTCACACTCCTCCATAACATCATGTAACTCTTCCCGAGAGCTGTGCAACTTACCAATATCAATGGACTTAATATATGACATTAACCTTTGGTAAGGAACACGTTTAGGAGTGGGAAAATTAGCAACACTTACACGCACTGCTCGATTCTTCTTTGAAACCTGCATATACAAGCTACCTTTATAAACTGACCTGTAATTATCTCTACCAATTATCCCACTACTGTAATATACTGCAATTAAACGAAGCATATTCTCATTTGAGATATCAAACTGCACCAATCTTTTTTTATATACCCTTGGTAGCACATTGTTCTTGATCCTTTTTCTCTTTTTTATTGCTGTAAAAATATCCTTATCTTTGCACTTCTTTTCCAGAGTCTCAACCATAACAATTGCTGCTGGTGTCATTTCTTCTAAGCTCCCCCGATGTATTGCACAAGCTGCCCCCAATGTCCCTTGTGTAAACTGCTTTGCTGATGACTCCATGCAGATGGGTTTTCAGTTGGCGATGAAAGCCGTCAATTCAGTGTTTTTCTTCTAATGGTAAAAGCTTCCTATCTTTCCCTAACTTACTTTGTTGGACTTCATTAATAATCTCCTTTATAATAACAGTTACTTCTTCTACTTCACTAACAGGTTTAGCTACCTATACCAATAACAACCATAGTGACTTTTTACAGCTATATGATTTGATAAATTGAAGGATAGACAATTTGTGTGGTCTAAGTTTTGCTGTCAGGTGGAGAAGGACATACGCAAAGTAAAAATTAATTATAATTGTCCGCATTTGCAATAAACTACAATAACAATAAATTAAGTGCATACAGGGGAATTTTGATAATTTTCTACGATGAGTTTTACGTTTTAGGTTAACAGAGATGTTCCTATTTTGTACTGCTTGAGTTAAAAGTGAATATTTAGTAAAACCTTCGGCCTCATATTCGTAGGTAACTTGCCTTCTTTACGTTTTGCTGGCAGACATATTATTCCCAAGGGAGGTTTAACATTGTTGATATCAGCATAAATACAAGCATAAGCACAAGATTATCAAAGAGCACTTCTCTTTATGAACATACCTTGTAATCTTATCTTTTCAGCTTTTTTGGTTATAGCCTGACTTTTTTTAGATAACAGCTCTCTCTTAATCCATGTTGTTCGTCACTGTTTCATGTATAGGCCAACATTGAACCGCTTACATTGTGATGCTTTTGGCCGCCGCATTTTAGCACTTGTATTGGCAAAATTAAAAAAAACATAAGATTTTTTTACAGACAAATATACTTCAATATTGCGGTGGCAATATACACAAATCATAAGAATTAAAATAAAAATAAAAATAAAGATCAAAATAAAGATATTAGTACATACACAAAATACATCACATACATACAAAATAAAAATGCACACACAAAATACATTTTACACACCACATAAAAATACACACACAAAATATCATCGCGGGCATTTACAGTGTCGACTTACTTGGAATTGCTCGGAAT